GTTATTTAGCTGATCTGGCCCATGCCTTCCAATCACTCCAGACCAGGTGCCAGCATCCTGACGCACTCGGACATATTTTCACCCAACAAGATGACTCTATCCCGAGGACCAACTTTAGCTAGCACCTGTGACAGGAGGTCATAGAAGGCATCCGATTCATCGGCCTTGCCTGCATCCCTCCACGGATGTTCGTCTTCGGTGGGGGCGTAAGTAACCACGACCACCGCTCCTCACCTCTGGGCGCACACACACACGGACAAAGACACACACAGAGCTGTTGCTTGCCCCGTTGAGACGGCAGCGCTCTGACCAAAATACAAAAATCCCCCGTGTAGCCTTGGCAGACTCTTGGGGCAAGTGCTGGTAGCGAGCAGCACCTATGAAGGCCGGAACGGCACACGAAGGGGTGGGAGGCCAGCACCATGCCCATCCACTTACACCACACAGACTACACATACCACACGCACCAAACGCACCATACTCGGCGCACACACACGAGTAGGGAGCGGGAGTGAAACTGTCAGCGTGCTCCGCTACATGCAAATCACGAGCATAAAGTGTGGATACTGCAGACTTTGCGTCTTGAGACGCAAACTCAAATATAGAGCAGGCGTCAGGGTCGCGATCGAACCCACGACCTCGTGTGTACCATGCGAGGTAGTTAACATCTCCTCGCCACTGTGACGTCAGGGCGTATCGCTACCGTGAGCTCAGCTAAGCAGGCGTTGCGCCTGCCTTGTAGCGAGTGTTGAGAGAATGGAGCAGGCCTGGAGACCTCCACGACTCCCGAGTGTCGAGGAGGTTTCCAAGCCCACGTATCTGGCAGACGATCCCATAAACTACTCTGTCCCTCACACACAGAGAGAGATAGGAGCCTCCTCTCTCACACACGCACACAGAGCGCGGCTGTTTGTTTTGTGGCCGTAATTTTTTGGGTGAAATGCGGACGCCATTATTCCGTCACTTTAGCCGCCTCGGGATTGATTTTCATGGCTCAGGGATGCGGTTTCCGTCTTTTCCTCTTTCTCTCTCTGCCGCTCTCTCCATTCCTTTCTCTCTACATCCCTCTCTCGCCCCCCCCTCTCCCCGTTCCTCTGTCTCTCGCTCTCTCGCCCTTCCTCGTTCAGAGGCCGAGTCTTGGGTCGCGGCTCGGTCTCCAACACTCGGGCCCGGGTCCAGCCTGGAGCTACTCAGTCGCTCCCAGCATTTCCCTGCACTCCGCTCTACTAGAATCCAGCCTGGTGCTTCTCAGTCGCTCCCAGCATTTCCCTGCACGCCACTCTGCTAGGATCCAGCCTGGAGCCACTCAGTCGCTCCCAGCATTTCCCTGCACTCCGCTCTGCTAGGATCCAGCCCGGAGCCACTCAGTCGCTTCCAATGGCACGGCTCGACTCAAGCTCGGTTCGTGGGGGGAAAATCCCCGAGCGTGGCTCTGAACCGTTCATTGCTCGGGGCCGGCTCAAGAAGTTAAGCGTGGCTCTTTCAGCCGCCTCGCTGGAGCCAGAGCCAAGTCGCCACCAAGACCACAGTGGGGGGGGGGGGGGGGGGGGGGGGGGGGGGGGGGGGGGGGGGGGGGGGGGGGGGGGGGGGGGGGGGGGGGGGGGTCTTACAACCTCACGGTCCATTCTCAGGCTCATCACCACCACTACCATCATCATCGGTTGTTGCTGTGTCTGTGTGTGTGTCCGGTGAGCGTGGCGGTGTATAGTAATCATCACCACCCACCCCCTCGTTTGCCAGCCTTTGAAGGAAGGTGCTACTCGCTTACAGCACTTGCCCCAACAGTCTGTTAGAGGCTATACGAGGGATCTTTGTCTCTTTTGTGCGTGGCTTGGGTGATTGCTCGGAGCCGGCTCAGACGTTAATCGTGGGCTTTGAGCCGGCTCACTTGAGCCAGAGCCAAGTCTGGGCCTTGACTCAGAATATTTATTTATACTGCAGGAAATGTCCAGTAAGGGGCACGGGGTCTGAAAGTTACAACAAAAATACGAAAACAAGATATGAGATTCAATGTATAAAAAGGTAAACAAATTAAATATATATCCATGTTTCATTTACCAGGTAAAGCCCACTGAGCTATGTAGCTCTTTTTTCAGAAGCGACCAGGCCACAAATGAAAGCTCAACGAAGTGGCTTATCATCAGCATCATAATCACGTGAAAATGCATAGGAGTAGCCAAATACCATAAGCGCGTGATGCCGATTCTAAATGTGGATGGGAAAACCCGGAGGACAACCCGGAGAAAAATCCACACGACCACAAGGGGAGAGAGAGGGAAGCAACCTCCAAATATACAGCAGGCATCAGGATCGGGATCGAACCGACGTCCTTCTGTGTACCAGGCGAGGTGGTTAACATCTCTTAACCACCCTGAATATTACCCCGGCCTTCGTCGCTGCCAGCTGACTGTATGTGTTTTTTATATATATATATTTTGAACCGTTTCACAATAGAGTGCTGAATAACAATCATCATCAGCAGCAGCCGCCTGCCAAGGTGGTGCAGGAATGAATTGGACCAATCACACAGAGGGAGCCATCAAAGAAACAAAATCAGGCGAACACAAAAGGATTTGACACACAAGCCCGAAGTAGCAGACAGCCATTTCGCCATTCAGGATTACTACATAAATGCAAAACCGCATTGTAATGGTGGTTGTGATGATGATGAGGTTGTTGGTGGTGGTGGTGGTGCCAATGATGGTGGTGGTGGTAATGATTATGGTGGTGATGATGGTGGTGATGATGGTGGTGATGATGATGGTGGTGATGATGGTGGTGACGATAATGATGCTAATGGTAATGGCGATGATGATGATGATGGTGATGATGGTGGTGATGATAATGATGCTAATGGTAATGGTGATGATGATGGTGGTGATGATGGTGGTGATGATAATGATGCTAATGGTAATGGTGATGATAATGATGCTAATGGTAATGATGATGATGATGGTGGTGATGTTAATGATGCTAATGGTAATGATGATGATGATGAATCTGTACCGATGGCATGAGCGCGGCACTGGGCGCTCATCACGAAGCGGGCGTGGAGAGGTTCCAGGCGGTCCCAAGGCGCCGCTCCCATCGCGAGCCTCGCCTCCACGTGCAGCAGCGCGCGGTGACGTGCGGCGGATGCCCGCGACGCCGCTCCGCGGCGAGTTGAGACAACGCAGCACGTGTCTGGACCCCACCCCCTATTACCACAGTGAACTCCATGGGCAGATCGCGTGCGCTGGGGTCAGGAGCGCAACGATGGGGTGGGTGGGTGTGGGTGGCTGTATGGCAGCGTGATGCGACGCGTGTAGGGGCCCAGGCGGCCACAAGTGCCTTCCCGAATCGCATTAAAAGCCAAAAAACGTTTAAACATATTTTTTTTATATCCCACCAATGAACCACGAATGTCAACAAAAAAATCGTTATTAATGAAAAGAATTATATTTCCGATAAATATACGCGGGGTAGAATATAGTAGCGTAAAATATAGTCGCTCTACTGTTGGTGTCACTGTAGAAACTGTTTATGTGAGGCTGAGTCGACCTAGGGGAGGCCCAAGACCGATTCAGAACATGGTCACCTGGTGTTGGCCGCGAGAGGAAATCGGGTGCTCGCTGGGTTCGTAGCCACCGCTCCCCACACTCACGCAAATAGACACTCACCGCACGCTCACTCTGCAGAACAGGGGGAGAACATGCGGTCACAGAATAGCAAGACAGATCTCCCATACAGCCTTCACAGGTTGTTTTGGGAAAGTGCTGTTAGCGAGTAGCATCTATGACTAACACTCGAATATAAATAAACCACAGAATCTCCTTCCTTCCCATATCTGCCTCCGCATATTAAAATAAACACGGAAGTTTTCGTGGGAATTTTTTGCTTGTAGCTTGGGATCACAAAACGGAGCTCTGCCGACACCTGGTGGTCCAAATTGTTATGGAAATGCCGCAGTGGCGAGATGTTAACTCTCTCGCTTTGAAATACAGGAGGTCATGGGTTTAATTTCTGAAATATGAAATATGACGATGCATGCTATATATTTGGAGTTTGCGTGTCTGCCTGTCTTTCTCTCCCCGTGGTCGCGTGGATTTTTATCCGGGCCCTCCGGTTTTTTCCCCCGTCCATATTTAGAATCAACATCACGCGTTTTAGAGCATTTGGCTGCTCGAAATGTCCACGTGATAAGCCACTACACATTGATATCATGCGATGGCCAGGTTGCTTCTGAAAAAAAAAGCGATGCATCTCTGTGGGCCTTACCTGGTTCAAAAAAGATTTTAAACTTTTTGAGTTTTTATTGCCGGCTAACGCCTCAGCGAGGGAGCGGTGGCGGAGTGCTTCGTGCACTGTTCTGTTTGACCTGGCGACCAGAACTGGAATTTTTTCCGCCCAGGTCTCGGCTAACACCAGGGTCAAAACAATGCCTTGAAACCAATTTCGTACCCACCGCTTCTCCCACATTTAATAATCATTTCTGCGAATTAAAGTTTGGGAAAAAGTGAACGCATCCTCCCACTTTAAAACTTGCAGTAAGCTTTCGCGACCAATATTAAATCTCTTTTTTGTTTAATCGCGTTAATATAAGTGTCCTTAACGCACCACCACCACCCAACACAGCCAATTATTAAGGGTTGTCACGTGAACAAAGTATGCCACACCGATGCTCGGCAGTAAGCCCACAAAGATTTAGAATTCAAATTGTAAGTAATTGGCACGTTTTGTTTGCGTGACAAACCTAGCTACTATGCCGTGTAGGGTGGTGGTGGGTTAACGTCACATTCATATTTATGCGATCGAAACTAAAAATACCTTTATTATTTAAATCCTCCAAGACTCCTTTTGTAAACTCCACAATCTCACCTCGTTACCGTTGGTGTGTTGTTGTGGTGTTCACGTTAAATATCGCCCGGTCTCGTTGTCGCGAGATTTAAATATCGCGGTGGCTCAGACATTTTATTATTAACTTCATAAGAAATCAGAGGACGAGAGATTTCCGTTTCACACAGATTTAATTTGTGGTCAAGTATGACATTTCTTCCCGAGTCCCCATCCGTTTTCAATGCTTCAGAGTTTCCGCTGCCGCTTGGCCTAAAGGAGAAAGAATCGACATGGAATTTAGATTTTTTTGTTTCATCTCGAGAATTTGTTTACTCAAATTTCCCATTTCCCCCGATCGTGCTGTGCGCATCGTGCAACAGAAACGCCCCGCCTGGATTCCCGAGCCTCTCGACAGGACTGGGGCGCCACGTTGGCGAGATGTCTCCCTCGCCTGGTGTGCAGGAGCGCGTGGGTTCGATACCGACCCTGACCGCCTGTTGTATATTTGGAGTTTGCGGTCTCTCTCTCGCTGTGGTCGCGTGGATTTTTTCCCCCTCCACATTTAGAGTCAACATCACGCGTTTATATTAAGAAAACTCCGAGTAGCGCGGTGGGCTATGTACGGTGCGAGATAAGTTAATAGGTGCATGCTTACATACACTAACTCACACCGACTCGCATCACAACCGCCAATTGCCACTAAGTGGAGGTGACGTCACCACGCCGCTTATGCTCGGCCAAGTGCACTTTGAGGCCACCACGTGACGTATCGAAGGACTCGCCGACAGGTCACGGGACAGAGAGGTGCCACGGGTTCATTTGACCGACTGAGACCATTTCGGCTGCTATAAAATGTCCACGTAATAAGCCACTTCGTTGAACTATCATTTGTGGTGGCCACGCCGCTTCTGAAAAATAGCAACATAGCACCTCGGTGGGGACTTTCCTTGTAAAGTATTTTTTTTTTTAAAGGCGGGTGGCTGGGTGGTGGTGGTGGTGGTGATGGGTTGAATGATGCGAGTGTTGAATGGAGCGAGGATGTTGTTCTGGTGAGTTTGGGGGGGGTGGTGCGTGGGAAAGACGATGATGATGATGCCGATGGAAGAAGGAATTCTTCCACAGTGGAGCAGTGCAAGGGGAGACGCGTAGAGAGACTGCAATGTGGCGAGTGAGCGAGTGGGTGGGCGTGCGTTAATGGCAAGTGAATGGTGAGCGAATCATCAAGTGGATGTGTGCGGGCAAGTAAACAGGTGAGCGGATGAGCTGCCAGGGAATGAGTGAAGTGAATGTCAACACCAGTGACGATTATCCAAACCGATCCTTGGCCTCACCTAGGTTGACTCAGCCTCAAATATATACCTCGTGCGGTGTAAAAAACGTCGCCACTCTAGAGAAAAAGGTGGCCGGGTGTGGTGCTGACCACCCACCGCCTCGTGTGCCGTGCCGGCCTTCATAGGTGCTGCTCCTCGCTAACAGCACTTGCCTCAACGGTCTGTTAAGGCTATATGGGGGATCTTTGTCTTTGTGTGTGTACGTGCATTTACCTTCGTCAAACGCCTTGTTCCTGAACTGCGACTCCAGGCCAGAGATTTGAGATGTACGCGCCTCCTTCGTGATCTCTTTGCCATCTCTGTGCGCGCACACAGACGCAACAGCAGTTACACAACCAACAGAAGTCAAAGCAACAGCAGCAACGACAGAAACAGCAGCAACATCAGCCAGTCGTAACAGCAGCAGCAGTAGCAGCAACAGTAACAACAGTAACAGGAAGCATCACGGTGGCTACTTCGCCTGGTACACAGGAGGTCGTGGGTTCGATCCCAACCCTGACGATGCCTGCTGCTGCTGCTGTATATTTGGAGCTTGTGCGTCTCTCGCTCTGCTCGCGGTCGTGCGGATTTTTCTCCGGATCCTCCGGTTTTTCCCTCCACATTTAAAAAAAAAAAACACATGCATTTTGAGTATTTGGCTGCTATAAATATCCACTTGATAAGCCAATTAAATGGGCTATCGTTTGTTTCCAGGTCGCTATTCAACTCAGTAGGGCCTTAACTGTTAAATACAAAAAAAAATTGTTTCGTAAATAGTTTAAGTTTAACAGCAACCGCGCCAACCTACGGGACCGTCTGGCAAAAACCGCACTAAGCTGCAGGATGTACAACCATTCTCTCAGGCACGTGTCGTGACGGGTACTGCGAAACCCGACCATGCCCGCTCAGTGATCGCCGAGCTGCATTGACTCCCGGTTGCCGCACGATGACAGTAGAAGGTCGCACTCATCACACACAAAGCGCCTTCCACAAATGAACCACAATACCTTGCTGATCTCGTAAAGCAGTTTTTTTTTTGTCAACCATAAAACAAAGTCGGTCATCGCATCGCGCGTTTTCAGATGTGCTTCTGCGGCAATCTGGAACGCTCTTCCTTCCGATGTGAGGAAGCTACTGGAGCTATGCACTTTTAAATCATCATCTAGATTGGCAAACATTTCTTCAGAACTGCTTTGTATTCTTCCACTTCCGATTAGCACGCTTGATTACGTACGGAGCTAAAGAAGCTCAACGTACGCACACACGGCGCACGTAATACCATGACTGCGAGTCGCTCGATGGAGCGCGAGAATCATTTGTATTGGTGAAGACGGCACACGACGGCCTCGCTATTCCCCCCCCTCTCCTACCGATGTCACCGCGAGGAACTTTAAGGAGCACCATGCAGTGGAGCAGAGCAGCACCGCGCCACGTTCGCTCCACGCCACAAACTACCGGCGTTTACCAGTGCCGGCTGCTCGTCCTCCAACACCTCCACAACGGCGACCAGCGGCGCCACTGGCTCATTGGCGCGGAGGGCTCGCCGGGGGCCCGCCGACGCCAGAGGCTCGCCGGCTTACCGGCTGGGCGCGAGCAGCGCGGCGGTGAGCGCAAAGAGCAGCACGAAGAGGATGGAGCAGAGCACGGAGGTCACCACCACCATGCCCCCCGTGCGCTTGCCGGGCCACACGTGGATCTGCTCAACGCTCACCACTGTGACAACGACCACAGCGAGAACAACCATGATAAGCACTACGACCGCTACTGCTACACTTGTTTACCCATGGAATAATAACAACAACAATAGTCTAATGAGAACAACGCCAACCCTACGCTGCGCCACCGCACGGTATCCTCTCATCGCTCTCGCGTAGAAAGCGAGAGAGGGGGGACGACTCTCAGAGAGGACGACTCCGAGAGAGAGGGAACGACTCCGAGGTGCCAAGAGGAACAATAGACGAGGAGCAGGAAGGCAGCAGCAGCAGCAGCCACGCGGTAGTGAGGAGGAGGGAGTGAGGAGCAGTGGGGAGGAGGGAGAGGAGGGGGTGGCGCTACCAACAATTACCCCCCCAAGCTCTGTGGCTCTATACATATTAAGTTGTTATTGACACAACTAACGAGTGTTTATACCCACTCGTGCGAAGGGGGCAACAGCCTATCCCAATTTTTTTCATCGCAAGGCCCCGCGGGCCACTGCCAAACCCCGATGGCCTTTAGTGCGGCCCCTGACAATACACAGTGAAGCCCCCCCCCCCTCATAATGCTGCTGTCAAATCCCCAATGGTTTCAAATGTGGCGGCCCTCACTCTGAAATGCCCCCCCCCCCCCCCACCACTTAAAAAGAGCGAGGAACACTGCCCCATCTCGGAGCGATGGAGATCATTTGTGCCTTCCCCTGCACCGCCATCTCCTGGCAGACCCAGGGCACGGCTCCTCCTAGACGCACATCCACTGGATAGGAAGGGAGCTTCACAGCCCATCCGCGTGAGAGCCACCAACCCTGGTTACTGCCTACACAGCGGTGCTGGATCTCGGGCTCCTCCTCTTCGTGGCGAACGCGTCGCTCTTGCGCTCTCTCTATGCGCTTAAGGGCCGTTGCCTGAAACGTCGCCCATTAAAAAAGACTCGTTTCCCGTAATCGTTAGCACGGCCTTCTCCACCTCACCTGGCTTGGTGGATATGGGGTCGGACCACGGCGTCTCCATGGCAGGAGGGGAGAGCAGAGAGCTCCTCGCCAGGAGCACGAACTTCACTCTGACGGAGGGAGAGAACGCGAGAGAGAGAGAGAGGAGAATTCACGTGGGATAAAGGCAGTGGGGATGATGGAGGAGTCTGGACAAAATCAAGGTTTCGGTAGATTCGGGTTGTTGTTGTTTTTGTTAAACAGTAACCGTTTTTTTTACTGATTAGTCGTGGTTCAGAATGTCAGGAGAACCGGTAACCGATAGGGAGTTGAATTAGCAGTTCCGTAACGAACGCAAGCCATTTAAGAGATGGCATTGAAGCAGCGACCTCCTGAGTTCACAGGTCCAGGGTGCTGCCGACCCGAGTCCCACCGTTGAGTCGTTATCAGGGGTGACCGGTCCCATACATTTCCTATAAGAATTAAAGTGTATACTGTATATATATTTAACAGCGAAAGAATGACATAAATTAGGAGCACGAGTTGAAAAGCTGTAGCGATTTTTTTTTAAATGAGCAGTGGTCATTCTTCTGCATTCACTACTCTCACCGTCTTTAATATTGCTTCCATTATTTATAATTTTTATTAAATGTCTCCCGAACTTCTTATGCCACCACTTCAACTCAATGTTTATTTGTTGCACGGAAAATTCCGGTGTAACCAGCTACCCAGCTATGGTTACGGTGGCTACAGGCCCGCAGCAGCCACTAACAGCAGAGTTACCGTTGCGGTGGAGATTCGCACAGCCCTGCCAGGAAACTCGAGGCATGAATTATTTATAAATCGTGCAATGATTGGGACACAGATAATCATCATCATCACAGATTAGTTGACACTTGCTGATGTTGTTAGTGACATGGACAAAAGCGTTGTCGTTGTGGTGGACAAGAACAGAGCCAGCAGGCAGCCAGCAAACCTTCAGAATCAGAATATGTATTTCTACTGGGTGGAATCCGATTAACTATCAAAAGCTCTTTTTCACAGATGTCCAGGAATGGCGGGTCAGAACGTTACAATACAATAACACAAGTGCAAAGTATAGGAAAGGTAAACACATCACTTAAATATGCAACTATTTTTATTTAACTAGGTAAAGCCCACCAGGTGTTAAACTTTTTTTCAGAAGCGACCTGGCCAACACAAATATCATCATCACGTGGACATTTATAGTAGCAAAATAATGTATGGCAGAAAAATAATAATCATCATAATGTTGCCAGGGTGTGGCAGTGGACAGGAGCCAAGCCAGTCAGCCAGCAAACCTTACCGGTAGGCCGTGCCGTTCCAGAGGGGGCCGTTGCACACAAGCGCCGCGGGGTCATCGGCGATGCCCGTGGCGCAGGCCGGGTCACCCCCGAGACGGAAGATGACCATCCCGAGGAGGGCCAGGGCAACGCTGGACCCGCCGGTGCCCACCACCACGGAGGGCGGCGGCGGCTGCGCGCAGGGGGGCACGGGGAAGTAGCCGGCGAGGTAGGGGCCCCGATCTCCTGCGCCGGTGGCCACCCTCGACCCCACGGCTCCGAGCACGCGTGAGAACGAGTAGCCTGGAAACACCACAAAGCCGAAAACGAGTAGCCTCAAAACCACAAGGACAAAGGCCGACACAGGAACACTTGAACCGTATGGCGGGACCCTGGGGTCCCGAATAAACGGAAGTCAAAATCGTAATTTATTTATTTTTGGCGACTCCGTCCCACCGCGCACAAACGCCACGACCCACCTGGCGCGGATCGTTCTGTTGTCGTGTCGTACAAGCGCAGCAGTGAGGACGAATACGCAGAGGAAACAAAACTTTGGAACTGATTAGCGCATCGTGTAGAGCTCGTCGAGGGGAACAGATTGCCGTATCGTTCGCCTTCAACAGGCATAAAATGACATCGCAACGCAGTTTGTGCGAGAGCCGGGGGCTTATGAGACCCCGGGGTCCCGCCGTAAGGTTCACTTCACAATTCTGGCTATCGCGCCGGATGAAGCTGGTTGTCATCACCGGCGAAATGTCACTCTAATTGGAAATGTTGTGGGTTTACTCTCCAACACACCGGTGTTCCGAATTCATAACCAACTTTTGTTTGCTTGACAAACTTGAATAATTGGTTGTACCGGGTGGTGGCGAGTTTTACGACGCATTTATATTTAACAAAAAAAACGGAATTATGGATAATAATGCTAGGGAAAGCCTACTAGGTGTTAAATTGACAAAGATCCTCTGTATAGCTTTAGCAGACTGTTGGGGCAAGTGCTGTTAGCGAGTAGCACCTATGAATGCTGGCACGGTACGCCAGGGGGTGGGTGGCCAGCACCACGCCTCACCACCGCCTTTGCCTAGCTAGTGGCGACGGTTGCGCACAGCCCCAGGTACTCATTTGAGGCCGAATCGACCTTGGGGAGGCCTAGGACCGGTTCAGATAATCGTCACCTGTTGCCAGCCATGAGCGGGAATCGAGCTCAGGTGGCCGGATTCGTAGCGCAGTTAACAGCGACGTTATTGCTCCCTCACCCATTACACACAGAGACTCGCAGCACGCACACTCACTCTGCAGAGCACGGGGGAGACCATACACATTCCACACAAGGCGACAGAGTCGGGAATCTAACCGAGGCTCTTCTATTTTTATTTTACAATGTAAGGTCCGCCGAGCTACGTAGCTCGTTTTCAGAAGAGATCAGACAACAAATGATAGCTAAACTGAGTGGCTCATCATCACCACCATGTGGACATTTATAGCAGGAGCCAAATACTCTCAACGCATGATGTTCATTCTAAATGTAGCGGGAAAAAACTGGAAGACCCGTAAAAAAAATCAACGCGACCACTACGGGGAGAGCGAGAGAGACGCAAACTCCAAATATACAACAGGCGTCGGGATCCAACCCAGAAACCTCCTGCATACCAGGCGAGGGAGCTAACATCTCCTAGCCAATTTCGATTTAAAGCTTTCGTGACTGCAAGGATTCATCTTCTTTGGTTCATTCGGTAAAGTCACGTAGAATGAGAATAAAATAATAAATTAATAAAATAAAATAACACAATAAAATTCTCACGACGTTTCGGCCACAACACAAGTGGCCTTCTTCAGGTGAAAGGAACAGACCTGTCGGGACGACAGAGCTTCAAAGAAGATCTCCTAGCCACTGTGCGCCACTGCAGGCAACCCTCCCCCCGCCCCCTCTCCCCTCCTCACCTTTCCCGACCTGTGCGGTCACCACGCCGACCACGGAGCCGGGGTCTGACGGGAAGACGCAGATGGGCCGAGCCAGGATGGCTGTGCTCTGGGTCGGGTTGTACGGGAAGATCGCCGCCGACACGAGCCGGGGTTTGGTTCCGTCACCTCGTATCACACAAAGACAAAGACGCCACCCCGTGTAGCCGTAACAAACTTTTGGTGGCAAGTGCTGTGAGCGAGTAGCAGCACCGATGATGGCCGGCAAGGCACGCGAGGGGATGCATGGCCAGCACCATGCCTGGCCACCTTTGTCTATAAATGTAGCTGCTACTAGAGATTTACACGTGATGATAATCCACTTGATTGAGCTATCATTTGTTGTTAGGTCGGTGGACTTTACCTGGTCAAATTAAAAGTTTAGTTTCCGTTTGTTTATTGATTTAATTTGTGATTTGCTTACGTTTCCTATATTTTGCACTCCCTGTCGTTTTTTTTGTATTGTTTGTTGTAACTTTCCGACGCCCTAACTGGACATCTGCGAAAAAGAGAGCTTCTACAGCTCCTGGAGATTTCTCCAGGAGGAATAAATATTCTGGTTGTCCCTAGCAGCGATGTTAACGCACCACACCAGGTCATCATTTGAGGCCGAGTCGACCTCGGGGAGGCCCGGGACCGATTCAGATACTCTCCACACCACTGGGGTTCCGTTCACATACGCACAGACGTACGGTACTTGTGTTAATCTACTTCTGGATGATGGCATTTGTACTACATAGTTGTTTCTTCACCCATCACGTGTTTATAATCCCCTACACACATATACAGTATATAATATAGAAGCACATTTTACACAGATTCCTGCCAACCATACTTGTAGGAAACAATTATAAAAAAAAAACATCCAGGCATGAAGGCTCTTATCCGTACAGTTAAGTTGGTTAAGTTTAAGTGGATTTCAGTTTGTTAAATTAAACTATTATTTTCATTTACCATGTTAGGCTCACTGAACTATATAGCTCATTTTCAGAAGCGATCTGGCCACAAACGATAATTTACAGAAGTGGCTTATCATCATCTGGACATGCATAGTAGCAGACAAATACTCTAAACGCGTGATGTTGAGTCTAAACCTGGAGAAAAAACCTGGAGAGAATGCCCGGAGGACCCGGAGAAAAATCCACGCAAACTCTAAATATACAGCAGCAGGCATCGTCAGGGTCGGGATCAAACCCACGAACCTCCTCCTGCATACTAGGCGAGGTGGTTAATATCTCGCCCTAGGTGAATTGCCTCGCTATTGTATGCCGGGAGATCGGTGGTGCTGCGTGAGCACTGCAGCAGCAGCAGCAAAGACATCAACATTGCAGAGAACAAGTCCAGCAGGATCCTTAAGGGAGATCGTAAATGAGAAATTTACTTCCCACTGAGTGAAGCCCACGGAGCCAAGGCGCTCCTTTTTCATGGCGAATCGGCCGGCAGACAACACAATTATAGATTTAAAACCAAAACAACTTAATAATCGCAATCATGTTGTAAACATTACAGCCACACAAACTTTATTGATATTGATAACAGTCAGTTTCAACCAGGGGTCGGGCAACCTGCGGCACTTTAAGAACTGCTTTGGGACGTTATTGATTAAGAACAGACACAAATATTTAAACAGATCCTTCGTATAGCCTTAACAAACTATTGGGGCAAGTGCTGTTAGCGAGGTGGTGGGTAGCCAGCACCACGCCCGGCCCCCTTCGTCTACCTGAGTGGCGATATTTACACACCGCACCAGGCTGAGTCGACCTAGGGGAGGCCCAAGACAGATTCAGATAACATTAACCGCATTGCATTGCGGCTCTCGAATTGTTGGGTTCTTGCTACCGAATTCTAAATAAATCAATGTACCTCCTTGTTCATTTCGATTTCAGACCCCCCCCCCCCCCGGTTTAAAAATGGAAGACAGAGATGGCGGAATTGGGGAGATCGAGAGCCTAAAAACTCGGGATGGCTCCAAACAATGAAGCTACATTACAATTATTGTGATCCAAACGGTGCGTGCAAAAAACTATTACTAGACAAAATCAGCCACGGTGGCTAGGGGATGTTAACTACCTCGCCTGGTATACAGGAGGTCGTGAGTTCGACCCCGACCTTGACACCTGCTGCTGTATATTCGGAGTTTGCGCGTCTCGCTCCCCGCGTTCGTGGATTTTGCGCCGGATCCTCCGGGTTTTCCCTCCACATTTAGAATCATGCGTTTAGAATGTGGCCGCGATACATTTCCACACGATGACCCACTTCGTTGCGCTATCATTTGTGACCAGGTCGCGTCTTTAAAAAAAAGAGCTATATGGCTCAGTGGGCCTTACCTGGTAAAATAAAAATAGTTCTTAGTATTTCACAACCAACTCACGAACCCATCGTTTCTCACATTCTTACCGAGCAGGAGTTGAGAAGTTCCGGCTCCAAACAGCGCGTGGTGGATCGCCACCAAAAAACACAGCAGCCATCGGCGAAAGATACACGTATTATGAAACATTGCAATGTACCGGAGACGATTTCTCCTCTTTTTAAATATTCGGTTCACGATAGTGGAACGGAGAGAGGAGCGAGTAATAAAGGAGCGAGATGAGAGGAGAGATTCTGAAATGCACCCCCCTCCAGTTACAGCGGTCAAACCGGAATAACGGAACACGTTTCAGCGAGCAATCAAATCCGGCGGAGTCGGATTTTATCCTCCCCCCCCACACGGGTTGAGATGATGGGTGATTGTGACGATGACGTTGCACTGTACCACGCGCGTGACCATCGCACCGACACGCGCCTCAGTTTCACTTCAGAATAAGAATCTGTATTTGACACCGGAGGAATCCGATGAGCTATAACGCTGTTATTTCACAGATGTGCAGTAGTTTCACAGCTGTCAAGATACAAAAACACAAACACAATTGGCCAACTATCTAAAGATGTAATGCACATACCGTGTTATAAACACATCATATTACCCTGTTGTCTTTATTTTATCCAAATGTAATTGTATTTATTAAATTTTATTTATGTTTATTTACGTTGTGTTATTTATTTTATAAATTCCGCACATTTATTTATTATTCCGTGTATGCTTATTATTTTTATTATTAACTTTTAGTTTTCCCAAATCCCGCCCGGTTGTTCGGTGGCTCGGCTAATGAGCGAGTCGGCTCGGAATCCGAAATGCCGCGAGTTAAAATCCTGGTTGAGTTGGGTGAGGGTTGACTCAGCCCACTCATCCCATCACCATCAGCCATCCCTCCGGGGTCGATAAAGTAGGTACCACTTCGTGGGGAGAGATCAACACCAGCGGTTGTCCTATGGAGAGACTCGACACACCCCTCGCCGTCATCCATAAGAATATGGAATTTCTCATTGTGGCTCCCTGCAGGGGCTATTAAATCTGGGAGGTGGGCACCACCAAGTACTTAACTGCTGTTCATTTGACCAAACAAAAAATCAACGTTGACTCTAAACTGGTATTTGGGACGCTACGGAATAGCGAGATGTTAACTACCCTGCCTGGTATACAGGAGGTCGTGGGTTCGATCCTGTCCATCATGTCTGTATTTTTGGAGTTTGCGTGTCTCTCTCTCTCTCTCCCCGCGGTCGTGTGGATTTTTCGCCGGGTCCTACGGTTTTCCGTCCACATTTAGAATCAGCATCATGCGTTTAGAATATTTGGCTGCTGGTATGCATTTCCACGTGAAGAAAAGCCATCATCGTTGAGCTATCATTCGTGATAGCCAGGTCGGTTCTAGAAAGAGCGCTACATAGCTCAGTGGGCCCTTACCTGGTAAAATAAAAATAAAATATTTTTTCGTTTATCCGGTCAAGGTCTCACGGAGTCTCAAGACTTGTTATCGGGGGGGTCCTGCTACATTGCGATGTTTGTCCATGGATGCCATGAGTGGTGGTGAAGAGGCTCGTGAAGGACGCTACTGGGTCAGTTGGAGGCAGTCGCCCTCCAGCAACAAGAACGGAGGGCAGAAGAGTGACGCTCAGCTGGTGCATCTGGTCAGTCATCTCGGTCGGTCAACCCATGGCGCCTGCTGGGTCTGTCCCGTGACCTGTCGGCAGCGAGCCTCCGACTCTTCACGTGATGGCCTCAAGGTGCACCTGGCCTGGCACACGCACTGTGGTGACGTTTTTATCCCTCCACATTTAGAAACAAGCGTTTAGACTTATTTAGATTATTTTGCTGATATAAATGTCAAAATGATAAGCCGCTTTGTTGAGCTATCATTTGTGACCAGGTCGCTTTTGAAAATCAAGTCCATACCGCAGTGGGCTTTGTCTGGTAGGATGGTTTGTGTGATTTGTTTACCTTTCTTGCACTTTGTACTCGTATCAAGTTTTTGTACTGTTTGTTGATGTAACCTTCTTACTCGCCCCGACTGGACGTATGTGAAAAAGAGCTTCATAGCTCATCGGATTCCTCCTCCAGTACAAATAAATGTTCTGATTCTAAGTGGCGAATGGCGGGTGGTGAGCGTTTGGCTGCCCGTGGGAGGGAACCGGAGAAACCGGTTTCAAGCTTAATTATATCATCACTTCAACCACCATCATCATCATTACCACGATTCGTATCTTCAGCAGCAAGAGGACTAATTCACGTTGGGCGTCATTGCCCATTCGTATGATGAAGACGGCTGACTATGCAGGTGTTATACGATGTTCAAACGCCAAATAAAACTCACTGATTGCAAGGCTGCATTCACCCACACACGCTTGTGCTAAAACAGGCACACAGACGTGCTTTGATGACAATGCACGGATTGTCCTGGGAACTGTTTGGCCTACATCAGAGCTACAGCATCCTCTGTGGCCCTGTCTCTGCACCAGTGTTAGCCCAAAATGGCAAAAGGCGAAGAGCACACGAGGCGGGAAGGGGTGACCAGCACAATGGCCGGCGGTCTTTGTCTCTCTCGCGGAGATGTTTTAGAAACACTGGGCACCCCACTCGACTGAGCGGGGGTGCCCAGAACCGGTTCAGATAACTCTTCCTGGCGTTGGTGGTGTTGGCCGTGAGCGGGAATCGCCGAGCTCGCAGCGCGCTATCCGCTGCACTACCGCTCACCTACAATTGTGGGCGCGTTTCCCATAGACTCGTACACAACCCCCCCCACCAACCGCCTCCGACTGACACGGGACCCTGCATCTTCTGGTGTTTTTTTCTCGAGTTGACAGATTTGTGGTCGGCGTGACCACAAAAGCGATGAGACCAACAACCGCAGCGCGTCACGAATGCGGCAGCCAAGACTCCTCGCTGGGACGAGGCCGAAAGGACCACGGAATCATTACCCATACCACCATGATCACCATAACCACAACCACCACAACCACCACCATGGTGAAACGAGCATGGCCGGGCGTGGTGCTGGTCACCCACCTCCTCGTGTTCCACAGTGCCGGCCGACATAGGTGCTACTCGCTAACAGCAATTGCCCCAACAATGTAAGGGTATACAGAGGATCTTTGTCTTATCTATGTGTGGTGTAGTCCACTGGAGCGGTATACAGTGCAGTGTTGTTGAGTGGCTCGTGCGGTGGTTGTGGTTGCTGCGTGGTGTTGTACAATGCTGTGGTACGTTGTGAATGTGGAGGTGTGTGTACTGTAGCATTATCTTTTCATCGGCTGCGTAATGTGAAAGCTACCTGGTCTGTCGCTCCATACGAAGTTTCAGGTCTTCTCGGCCAGTCAAGCCCCTTTCTCTACGCTTGTGAAACGTGGATCCCACTATTGGAACATCTTCGCCGGTTAAAAACGTTTAGGCTGGCTTGCCTATGATCCATCATGTGTTTAATCAAGCTGGATTGTGAGCTCACAAATCCTGGAAAGATATGGACAAAGTCCCATTGGTCAACTCCTCTGGCGAATTAGGGTTACGTTGGCTGGGTTATGTAGCCCGCATGCCCAGCCACCGCATGCCCAAGCAGCTATTGTTTGGCTGGATAGAGGAGGCTAAATGGGCGTGACATGGGCTGAAAAAGAGATGGACTAATGTGGCACAGGATGTGGAGCTGAGAGGATTTGCCAATGACTGGTACCAGCGGTGTCAAGATCAGCCTCTATAGGGGAGGCTCGTGAAGGACGCTACTGGGCAGTTAAAGGCCGTAACCCTCCAACAACGGAGGGCAGAGGAGCAACGCTCACAGCAACGAGGGGAGCGTCAGGCGGATAAAATACAGCTAGTTGGCGCAATAGGGGGTACAGCTGGTGCATCGGCCACTTATCCGAGTCAACTTATGGCACCTGAGTCTGTCCAGCGACCTCCTGTCGCGAGCCTTTGATACTTCACGTGGCCTCAAAGTACATGTAGCCCGGAACAGGCGCCGTGGTGAGTTCATCACTTAGTGGCGAATAGAGGCTGTTGTTGGTGGTGGTGGTGGTGGTGATCGTGTTGTTCCACGAGCCCCACGAGAAACGTAGTGACCGTTCTCTTCACAACGAGCCCTTTACATTTCATAACACAGCGCGATGAGATGGAAATGTGAAACAGAGATGATTTTACAGCATTTTTCATTTCGTAAATGACTATTTACACTAAACGTCTCTTTACATCAACTGATAGACGGATTTAAACAACGCAGAGCACCACGCGTGACGCACCTCCACCAATATGGTCTCCTGCGTGTCAATGCACGCGTGTGGCCTCCACTGCAATGGAGACACTTGTAAACGCCCGGTGATTGATTCACCCAACACCTTCTGCTGGCTTGCTGTGCAGACCTCGGAACCAGTGGCGAGTTGCTTCAATGGTGGGCGTCACAGTCCCAGTAATACGTTAGTGCGTGGCCTAGCCCCCGAATTCTGGCTGTAAAATTTTTGGTTGAGTGCTTGAGAAACCTCATGGCTTTGTAGGTTTTCCTTTTTAGAAACATATTAATTTCTCAGTCAAATTGGACAGCAAGGACTAGAGAGTCCCTGAAATAAAATTAAAACGTGTTTTTATTCCCTTCCATAAAACTCTCTCCCTGGCTTTTAGGGTTCATGAATTTCAAATATCAGAAAGTAATTTTGCTCCTAAAATATCGTGGGGAGCCTCTCGAATACTATTGCAATAATCATTGGAATATACGAACGGCCTTTCTATTGGTCTCACGAGTCACTGGTCTCTACTGCCCCAGCAGCTGTGGAATCTGGCAAAGCGTAGCAAGAAGGTGGTAGTGGTGTCATCGACATGTATTGGGGCTACGATTTGCGGAAGTACGCCAAACGCCACTTCTGCCCGGAACAGGGCACCAGCACGAGCTCCAGGCCGTAGCTTTTCTGAGCATTCTCTTTCACCTCCAGGCACTTTCCTCCTTCTTGCAGCCTCAGTTCTCCGTTCTGCAGCCGCACAGTAAACAAACATTGAATCTTGAAGCGGGTCTTCCATCAGCAACTAAATAATCATCAGCGTTGTTGTGGTAACTAACACAATAGATAATCAGGCAATACAGCTCCTTCCATATGTCTGTGTCCCTGCACACTTTAGTAAAATAAAAGTCTTCAGGTGGAGAGGCAGATCAACGAAAGTGTGTTCGTAATGAACCAAATCTGATCAGCATTGCCAAATCAATTCCTAATGAAACGTATTTTGGTGACTTAAAAACCCACGTGGTTACTGTCAAGTCCGTCACCTCAAAGTGAAGCAGCCTGCTGCTGGCCTCCTGACCGGACAGCTGACAGTCCACAAACGCAGGCTCGACTCCCGATGTTGACACCCCCAGACACACAGCTCCGGGGCTCACCAAGTCCATGTTCAGCCCGATCATAAGTCGGTTATCGAAGGTTCTCATTGCCAGCTGCTCAATACAACAAACACAAGGAGACACACAGACACGCGCAGACACGTACAGATTGCAAGGGCGGCCCGGCCATGTAGGCGAACTAGGCGGTCGCCGAGAGCACCAAGTAAGTGGGGTGCCAAATTATAGTAAAAAAAATACTCATAAAAAAACAAATAAACGAATGGAGATGTCATTATTTCACTTCCCGTGCACGTACAGAGGGAATATGAATTATAATTCATTTCTAAAAATGTATGAGAATTTATATAGTAAAATATTTACTGCAAATATAAATACCTTAAATTGAACTGAAATATGATCTAGCTGTCGTTTACAAATCTATTCTGAAAATTCGTATCTCTATTTCATCTGATCTCAGAAACACTAGTTGGGCAAACGGACAGACAGACAACCCGAATAATTATGCTTCTGTCGAAAAAAATACGCTTAGAAAACATTAAACAGAAAATAGGAGCAAAACGTTTCCCAGCTTACAAAAAAACCTCAGCCTAGATCTGCCCTTGGACTTTAGGGGTGGGGGAGCCGATTGCATGGTTCGCCCTAGGGCGCCAGTTGCTGGCAGCTCATCTAGGGCCGCCCCTGACAGATTGGGTAGCAGGGTGGCGTAGCGGTGACACTCGTGTCTCACAGCGAGAAGCACTTGGGTTGGAGTTTTATTATTACAGTAGACACTCAATTATTCGCGTGACATTTTGACAGAAATTGAAAACTCATGGATTTCCCCTTACGCGCAAATCGAAGAACAGTTATACATTGTTATTCTTGGAAATATGTATTACAAGTCACGTGTTTAAACCCAGCAAATATTTGCGCCAGTTAATCCGAAATCCACGTGATCGCCTATACAGTACAGTAATTGAACATATTTACAACAGTGGGCAGAGTTTGATTGATTTTGATTGGCGTGGCTCTAAACACTTAGTGGGCGGAGTCTTCATTAACAAACTAAATTTTTATTTAACTTAAACATAATTTAAACCTATATTAGTGCTTTTTGGCATATAGATCCGCGAAAATTTGATATTTTGGGATTATCCGCAATTTTTTATCTGCGGCCGTGCTCGCCGTAATTATTGTGGATAATCGAATCTATTGTATTTATGCTTTTTAAGGCGCGGAAGACACAACGAAGGGCTTCAGAGGATTGTACAGAAAATATGAAGATACATCTTTAGTTTATCTGACATTTCCTAGGTAAAAAAGTGTTTTTTTGTTCTAAATGGGATAATATCAGCGATCAGGCGCAGTTCTTCAGGCAGAGAGCATTCTAAATCTGAGGGCCAAGGACAGAAAAAGCCTAAAAGCATCAATTATTGAGGCAAATGCTGAAATAATGCATCGTGAATTAAGCACAACAATTTTAATCGTGCACGGAGCTCAATTGGAAGCAAGTGGTGGAGGTCCAGTAAGGTTTGGGAGATTGGGTCTTGACAAGAATGACGAGTCAGTAAATCGTCGCACAGAGGCGTTCCAGATGCCCTGGAGTAGTCTAACTCGACACCATGGAAGACTCTCGCATACAGGGCATTTCTATAGTCGAGAACAGATGTTGCAAGGGCATTCAGTCCCATAGTGCAATCGCTGTCTGAAAGGAATGGTTTAACCTTTTGTTGTCCGTAAGTGGAACACACAGGTTTTTACTACTTGATTTATCTGGGGCATAAACGACAGTGAATTATCCCACACCAAGCCAAGTCTCTTCGTCATATTTGCCAGTTGGGATGCCATTCCATAGACAGTTAAAGACACTGCCAAGAGCCTCAGGTCAATAAGTTTAGACTCCTACCCTACCAGCAAATATTCCAATTTGTCTGGATTGAGTCGTATCTGCTTGTCAGACATTCAACTGTCGATATCTGACAAACAAGCGAAGATGGTAGTAAAGTCCTGCTTGTCCCGAAATATCAAGATATAGTAATACCCTGATTTACACCCTCCCGCTTTTCATACTTTACCATCGACGCTTAGAGCAAATCATTTTTTTTTGGAGCCGCTGGGTCAAGAGCTTTGATAAGTGAAACATTATGCAGGTTTACTAATTCGGCAAGCTGAATTGTGGAGCAAACAGTCCACATTTCCTCCTGCATAAATGGTGTCAGGTGGTTCATCATTGAGGTATAATAAGAATGATTTATATTTTAGGATAATTGGGATGTAAACTAGCTTTGATGAGAAGCTGAAATTAAATCAGGAAATCATCCGACCAGTCGACCTGAATCATGTCCAAAATTTAGATTTGTCCAGATCCATAGGTTGGGCGATTGACAGCTTCAATATAGCCTAGGCTAAGCATATTGTCTATGAACTGGCAGGCTAACTTGTCATGAGGAGAGTCGGCCCAGTATAAGGGAGATAGGGGACTCGAGTGACGGGGGTATGCTCAGCTCAAACATGTCATCCAACCAATCAGAATCTGAACGAGGGGGAGAATAAAGAATAGACAGCTGAAAGGAGCAATGTTTTGAAAAGAGCAATGAGCAGATAGATATTCTGATGATTTAAAATAAATAGGAGGCCTAAACGTGCAGTGCAAATTATCTTGAAAGATGAGAGCTACACCACCACCAAGTTTTGCAATTTTATTCACATTGAGAACTTTATAACCAGGGGAAAGTATGTTACCTACATCTGGAGAAGATGATTCATGTAACCAGGTCTCTGTCATGCAGGCAATTTGGGGTTTCAGCCCCTCCGTTGTGTCTGATAATGATAATGCATGTCTTTCTGCAGATCTGGCATTAATGAGAAAGGCATTCATTCCCAGGATGGGATGAGAGTCATTAAGGATAGGAGTATGTTGTTTGGGAATAGTGATTAGATTTTCTAGGTGGATTTGTTCTTGTAAGTGAGGCTAATTGGTTGAAAGTTAATAAAGCTGGTATTGTGAATGATAGGTGGTATGAGATTGATTGCGTGAGGGGTAGATAGGTTAATAAGGGGGGATGCACGTGAGGAAAAGAGGACATGGGCAAACAAGTTGGGACATAATCTTACATTGGCCCCACCCACATTGCATGTAGGGCAGCCAACATAGTATGCCCATTGATTTACACATCAATGATAGACATCTCTTGAGATAAAAATAGATATCAACCATAATAAGGTGGCACAAGAATAGTTGACCATGGGTAGGTATCCCAGAAATCCTAATATATGAACACCCAGGTCTGTGATTCTATCATTCTGTCATTCTGTGACTACCGTGGCACAGATTGGTTGAAGTGCGTCACGTGACCGGGACCAAGCAGCCAACCAACGCTTGGCGGGGCTATAGAGGGGCGGGTGAAAGTCCGCATCGAACCAAACCCCCAGCAAGGCCATCTACTTAACGACGAGAGGAAATTCACACGAAATGTCGTTTTCATTTAAGTATTCCAGATGTAAAGTGATATAAGCTTTTAATGAAGAAATAAAATTATCTAATTCAAAATATAATACAATTCAAAATGTTTCATTTTAAAACTTCAAAACGGAGCATCTGGTGCTTGCGTGAATGCGTCGTTCGTGTGCAATGTTTTTCGTGACATTCCTGGCCGAAGGCCGTAAATGGTTGTGAGGGGCACCACAGGCGCCCCCTAACAACCCCTAGTAAAGATATTGTTGTTGATGGCGTCGGGCTGCCCGACAAAAACAATGGAGCTGCCTGGCAATAGCGATGGAGTTGCCTCAAAATGGCATGGCCATGGAGCTGTCTGACAATGGCCATGGAGCTGCCTCATGATGGTGATGGAGCTGCCTCATGATGCCGATGAAGCTGCCTAACTAGAGAAACACAGCAGATAGGCGCAGTAGTTAGGAAGCGAGACGACAAAGCACTGGCGTTTCCTGCAGCCGGTGACATCACACGTGTGCTGCTGCACATTAAGGCTTGCCTCTCATCCTCCGGCTTAGACACGGTACTTCATCAACTTGTTTGTGTGTAAATGTTTGTTCAATTGAAGTTGCCTCTCTGTGTGAAGTTTTGTATGTTCTCTCTCCCCCTGCTCTTGGTTTCCTTCAGGTTTTCCGGATTCCTCCTCCCATAGCTTAAAAGCTTAGCAATGGTGGAAAATTACCTGCAAACTACTCAAATGGGATTTCACTTCATAACAGAACTGGCAACCTTTCTTGCAAGTCTGGTGTGCTCACCATTACACCACAAAGACACCCCTATAGCTTTAAGAGACTGTTGGCGCAAGTGTTCTTAGCAAGCACCTATGAAGGCCGTTACGGCACATAAGGTCGTGGATGGCGACCACCACGCCCAACCACCTTTATCTCCCCAGTGGTGATGTTTACACACACCACATTAGTTACTCATTTGAGGCTGAGTAGACCTAGGGGTGCCTCAAGACCAGTAAAGATAATCGTCACTGGTGGTGGCTGTGAGCAGGAATCCAATTCGGAATGCCAGGTTCAATGCGCAGCATGCTAACCTACCTCACTGCTGCTCCCCACCATTACACCACGGGCAACATCACACATTCATTGGCCAGGCGTTCAATACAACACAGTACCTGGGGGGTGTATCCATGGCATGGGTACAAAATGGGAAATTTATCCTTTGGGTCTCCTTTGTCCAGACAGAGGCTTTCTTTTTTGTTGTTGGTCATCTGAAATAAGAAAATTGTAACGATGTACATTTTCAAATTATTACACGCGAGTGCTTTAGAGCCTCTGTCATTACAGCATCGGTGAAACTTAAGACCACTTTGTAAGTTTTCGCGGCTGTGCTGCTGCATAGCTGTCTGATGTGTTTTTGGGTTGTTCCACTGTGTTGCTCGGCATGATGTCAGACGTTTCTCTCCGCGTGAGGGAGCTTCTTCAGGGACTTAATTGTGCCACTACATTTCTCGACGTCCGTGGAACAGCTCCAGCTTCTGCAGTAGAAAAACCACACTGGTGCCTCCTGAGCTGTGCTGGGCTGGCTCGATCCCGGCATGGCTTGGATATGCCAGTGGAAAAGGGGCATCGGATATGCGCCACACCATGCTGGATATGCACCATACCATACTGAGTACTCACCACATCGTACTGGATACTCACCACTCCATACTGGATACTCACTACGCCGTACTGCACGATGTCGTCGTGCCGTGGTAGTGAGGGCAGCACGTTCTCCAGGTACCACGCGAAGCTTTTGCAGTTGAGCCGCTTGCGCAGAGCCACACGCTCTGAGATGTCGCCGATGTCTATCCCAGAGCCCTAGTGTGGCACCACCAACGAGACAAGAGTTATACACCCGGTGAACGTTGGGTCAATGCTAGCAAACATTAACATTTGGTTGGAAACGTTGCACCAAAGTTGGCCCAACGTTCCATGTTCATTGAGAGGTAATCGGGATGGTGAAGCTGTGGGCCCACCGCTCGTTGCACAGTTTCGTGGTTCATCTCCGGCAGGTGGCACAGGTTAACACTGTAGGGTATGCTCCATTAAATACCACTTAATATGCGCCATCTGCTCGTTCAAAATGAGGAAAGCCATTGCGTGCTGACGTCACTGTGAAAACAAGTTGCCAATTTTGAAAAATCACCCCGCAAATTACTCAATTGGGATCACACCCAGCAGCAGCAGCAGCAGTATCGCAATTGACTTGGGCTATGGGAATGAATGCGTGAACACAAAATGGGGCAAATGGTTTGGCTGGGTTCCACCCAGGGGCTCAGCACTCCAGACTCAGCGCGGGCCACACGCGGCCACCTCCGGAATGTGGCGTCTCGCTGGGTTGGCCGAACGAGACGCATGGCATTGTGTCTCATGTCTTGTATCACGTAGAACACAATGGGCCCATCTGGTAACTTTACAGACCTTGACGACCCACCATGCCCGAGTGCGTGCCCTTACGTGAATATGCATCATGTATACATGCATATGCATCACGTCAACATGAATATGCATCACATCCACATGAATATGCATCACATCCACATGAATATGCATGAGTTTGCTACACGTGAATCACAGAGGGTGCCCTGCATCGCGCACGTTCATGGGCACGTTCCAGGCCATGTAGACGTTCCTCTTGTAGTCGTCCATCCAGATCTCGGCCACGCGCAGCGCATTCCTGCGCATGTGGACGCTCAGGTCCAGGGCGTACGGCTTGAAGTAGCGCTCGATGTGAGCCAAGCGTGAGCAGGGCAGCACCTCCACGCGGCCCCCGCACTGCCACACCTGGATACACGGGGGTGGGGGGGGGCAGAGAGTAGGGGCTGGCCACCAATAGCCCAGGCACTGTGATCGGCCACTCGGAACAGGGCAGCCAGTTGGGGTTGGCGTACACAGATCCTCCATTTGTCTGCAGTCGCCCAGGAGAGCTTCAAGACTATTTTCTTCAGGAGGGTCCCGTTAGTTTTTTGCAGCAGTGGGGGCAATGTTGTTGCTGCTGCTGTGTGATCTCGATTGAGTAATTTTCAGGTAATTATTCCACATTCCGATGTTTCGGCCAATGCCTGTTACATTGTATGTTTTTTAAGCTATGGGAGGAACCTGAGAACCCAGATGAAGCCCAAACGGAACAGGGCGAGAACTGATACCTTCCACAAAGAAGGCACCTGAGGCAGGAATCAAACCCAGGCTTGTCTTGCTGTGAGGTACGAGTGTTACCAGCGTGCCACCCTGCGCCACGGTGGCGATATTGTTAGCTACCTTGCCTGGTATACAGGAGGGCATAGGTTCGACCCCAACCCTGATGTCTGTATATTTAGCGTTTGCGTCTATCTCTCCCGGTGGTCGCGTGGATTGTTCTCTGGACCCTCCAGTTTTTCCGTTCACATTTAGAATCAAAGTCAGACATTCAGAGTATTTGGCTGCTATACATTTTCACGTGATATGCTGCTTCATTCAGCTATCATTTGTGATAGCCAAGTTGCTTTTTAAAAAGAGCTAAATAGCTCAGTGGGCCTTACCCGTGTAATGAGAGTGCGCAACCTACAGGACGACCGGGGGGGTTATTGCAGATACGTGCTATGTTGTCTCACATCCAATCAGTACGGGGGTTCCCATCTGGATGTAAGGTAAATGGGCAGAGCTAGCGGGAAGCCTCGAGAGCCCTCTGGAAGGTTCCGAGAGGGGCGTGGCTAGAGGCGGGGCTTAGCCCCGCCGAGAGGGATATAAGCAGAAGCAGGAGAGGACTCTGGGTTGTCGGTGTGAAGAGCCTGGGTATGAACGTCGTCACCGCCTGTGCTCCCACCATCAGCCACGTGGCCGGCTCCACCAGCTGATCCTCTCCTCTCTCCGACACGCGGTTAGCCAGCGGCGGGGCGGAGAGAGAGGGAGTGCCACGAGGCAAGCGTGAGCCGCGTCCCGAAGAAGAGAGAAGCAGGCCGCGAAGGAAAGAGAGGGAGACACGTGCTGTACTGCAACTTAAGAATACAACTGAAGTTAACCCGTGTCGGAGACGATTATTACACCTGCTAAAAAAAGTTTGGTATAATAATCTATAAGGGCCGATAATGTATTTGTCTTTGTGCCTTAGCATCCTCACCCTGAGGCCCAGCTCCACGTTCTCCCCTCCATACACCTGCATGCCTTCATCCAGAAACCCGATCTCCTCCAAGTAACTCTTGCTGGCCGCCATACAGCCCATCACAATCGGGCTCCTGGAAGCGAGAGGGGGGTGAGTAAGCTGGATGACAAATAATCACAGAAATATCTCAAGTAGGGCTTTGCGAGCAAAGACTCACCATCTGAGGCCAACGGGCTGTCACTGACACCGGCATAAGGAGAGGAGGCCTGCAACGCAGTTCAGTCTGACTGCAGTTAACATCTCACCACAGTGACGAGATGTTAACTACCACGCCTGGTATGGAGGAGGTCGTGGGTTTGTTTCCGATCCTGATGGATTTCTATTTGGAGTTTGCATGTTCTCCCCGTGGTCGCATGTATTTTTTTCGAGATCCTTCGGTTTTCCATTTCACATTTAGAAACATGTGTTTAGAGTATTTGGCTGCTATAAATTTCCACGTGCTAAGCCACTTCATTGACCTATCATTTGTGACCAGGTCGCTTCTGAAAACGAGCTCTACAGCTCAGTAGGCCTTACCGGTAAAATTAAAAGTTGAGTTTAGTTCACTTATTGGTATATACGAGCACTGCCTGCGCAAACCTGGGCAGGGTTACGCAAAGGTGGACGTGGTTAGGCGAACGTGGGCATGGCTGCGCAAATGTGGGTGGGGCTACACATTTGGCAGCCTTCAGGATAAGTACCTGATGGGGGCCGTGGGGTCGTTGCTGTTGATCCATTCGAGGGGGGGCACCATGTAGGTGCACCACAGCTGCCAGGTGAACGTTTGTGCCTGCGACTGGTAGCGGTGGACCTCTAGCGTGTCGTAGTGCGTGTTGTCGAACACCGTGGAGACCACGACGCGCCGGTCCTCCTGGATCCGTGCCAGGATCGGCTCGGCCCTGGTTAGCGAATTGAACAACGCGAATTATTTTTTTTCAAATATTTACTGTCATCAGAGGTGACCAGATGGCTCATGGAAGATTGTGTTGTGAATACTTAGATCCTGGGTTAATCGGATTTGAGTGTGTCCGTGATTAAACCAGGTTCTTAAGTGCAGTGAGATAATGGTTTGTCCACATACAGTAAAACCTTGGACAGAGAGTAACTTGGTCTGCGAGTGTTTTGCAAGACGAGCAAAAATGTTAAGTAAATATTAATTTGATAAACGAGCGAGGTCTTGCAATACGAGTAGTACGTATACGCTTCGTCTGCCGAGCGTCACGTGATCACAACTGATATACGAGTGCTTTGATATACGAGTGCTTTGGATTACAAACACGTTTCCGGAACAAATTATGCTCGCAATCCAAGGTTTTACTGTATACCAATGACTCACAAAGAAACCTATAAACAAACAGAACTCACACATAAACCCATAGACTCACATAGAGACCCATAGACTCACATAGATACGCATAGACTCACAGAAAGACCTATAGATTCACACAGAGACCTATATACTCACACATAGACCAATAGACTCGCAGATAGATCCATAAACTTACATAGAGAGCCATTAACTCACACAGAGTCTCATAAACTCACACAGAAACCTGTAGACTAACACAGATACCCACATACTCACACAGAGACCCATACACTCACACAGCGTTATATATGCTCACATAGAGACCTATAGAAGCACAGAGACCAATGGGTGGCAAAATGCTGCCCTCTTTGGTGTTTGAAGCAAAGGGTCACTTGAAGGGATCTCGGCGGTACCTCTGTGATATCCACTTCCCTGGCCCATTATCATCCATATTCATAAAAGGCACAATCCAGATTGGAACCCAGGGTTTCATTGGTGCCAGTCCAGTGTCTCTGACCTCAACGCTACCAGGCCAGCTCACACATCGGTAATAAACATATGACGGTAAGTCCTCGTTTACCACATTAGATGCCTTCCTGAAAAGTGGCTGCATCAAGCGAAACACACGTTTGAGCAATAACAATTTCCCCATAAATAATGCGAAGATCACGTTTGGTGAGATACGATGTCACTACGATAACGAACACACAGAAATAATGCCGGGACATATAACTGAGGGTACACTGCCGTGTTATTGTATACTCCGCGTACTGTATAACTGTACTACTCAGCTACACAGCTCAAGAAAGTAGTTCGTTGACGACTGCTGAGAAACTGCGTTATAAAAGTGCACATTCCACGTTATAACTAGTGCCTTCCGCGTTATAACGGTGGGGTTTCGTATTATAACAGGTGCCTGGTTGGCTGGCACGGTGGTGACGTCACTGCTGTACGTCTGCGTGATGAAGTCACCCGCATTCCACAGCCCTTTGAGCTGGGTGTGTTGCACTGTGACATCATCGCGCCTCTCCACCCTCTACCCACCCACCCCACTCACCCCACCCACCCCACCCACCCTCCAGTATGGCCCAGTGTTGGTTACTATGATCTATTGAACTCGCGGTGCAAAGCGTCATGGCCCAGCAGACTCACCAGTCGGAGAGAGTTTGGGACTCACCATCCGACGGGGAACTCCACGTGGGCGTCCATGACGGCCACCACGGGCCCCGAGGCCGCCTGGACGCCGGTGACCCGGGCCGCGCTCAGCCCCCTGCGGGCAGCATGCCGGATGATGCGGAGAGACACCTCCGGGTACCTGCTGTCCAGCTCCTCGATCTGAGCATTGAATTGTTGCTGCAGGTCTCCTGGTGAAGGGCACCATTCATTGTTGTCTGTATTTATCATCATAAATCATGAGTAAGTGTAGCTGCAGCCGTGAGCAACCCACAGCTGTGTGAAGGGTTGTGTGTGTCAGTCCGCCACGTGGTCTGTGTATGCTGACCTCGTGCTGATGACCTCCGCACCTTTGACTAACCACGGTTGGCTATGTATGGTGAAAAAAAAGTTCAGCATACATACTATACACTACTATACTCTACACTGCTATACACTTCTATGCTAAATTGAAAACGAATTTCTTTAGAACTGCTGTTTGTGTTTAATTTACTGTCCCCCCAAACCTCCGATTAGCCACTGTTGGCTACGTACGGCGCGAAAGAAGTTCAACATACATACATGATAACATACAAAGTATGTCCTTTAAAATGTTTTTTTTTTGCCTTGTAGCTCTCACGGTGGCCGCTGCGGTCGTCGACGAGGATGATCTCCTTGAGGAGGTGGTGCGGCGTGTTGCGCACGGCGGAGGTGACGGCGCGCAGCAGGATGGAGACGGCCTCGTTGTAGAAGATCAGCACCAGGCTCAGGGCCGGCAGCTCCGACGGGTACCGCTTGGAGCTGCAGCTGGGGGGGGGAGGCGGGAGAGAGGAAGCGACCCACGTGGTGAAGTATGGGCGAGTAACCCCTCCAGTGACCCACGTGGTGACGTATGGTCCAGTAACCCCTCCAGCGACCCACGTGGTGACGTATGGTCCAGTAACCCCTCCTGCGACCCACGTGGTGAAGTATGGTCAAATAGCCCCACACGTCGCCTATGAGTACCTTATCTAAGGATTATGAGATGCACTTTTTTTCCCCCACTGTGTTTGAAATCAAAAGTTTTGGGGTGTGTCTCGTAATAGCAACTTGGGAGGGGCAGTAGTGCGGGAGAGGGGAAGTATGGTCAAATGATCCCCCATGAACCGCATGGCGTGCAGAGGCCTCTCTTCCAGCAATGGATAGACCGTGGTTGATCATCAATAATGATGATTATGAACTTATGGGGCTGGCATGTTTTGGTCTGGTTGGTGCATACAAGTGGTTTAGCGGGACTGGTTTTCAACAGGGCGAGTTCCGAAGAGTATCAACACAACTTGATACTCAAGTTTTGTTCATATCGGATCAGCTTCACGAGAGTTATTGTGCCTCTCCCTTAAAGACGGATGCATGGACAGATAGATAGACAGATCGGTGAATGGGTGGACAGACTGAGAGAGGGACAGGCAGACCGATGTTCATCAGGCAGGAGGAAAGGAGACAGACAGAGCTAAGGTAGGCTCACGCTCAGCTGGTGATCGCTATGATGACGATAATGGTGATGTTGATGGTGATGATCATGACGATGGTGATGATCATGACGATGGTGATTGTGATGATGATGAGTGAGTGTGACTGTAGGTGGCGCATCCGGGGAGGGGGGGGGTTCATGATGATAATTATGGGAGTGATGATGATGCGGAGTGATTGTGGACTCCGAGTGGTGTACGTAAGAGGGCTGTTGATGATGACGATGATGATGCCGATGGAAATGATGATGACTATGCTGATTACAGTGATGATACAATAATGATGGTGGTGGTGGTGATGATGATCATATAAATGTGTCGTTAACCCGCCACCACCCGACACAGCCAATTAGTAAGTTTTGTCACGTAAACAGAACATGCCAATTTGTCACTAGTACAGCACACCGGTGTGTTGGAGAGCAATTCCACAACATTTACAATCTGAGCACGACTTTTCGCCAGTAATTACAACGAGCTGGCTGTCGCCTGATGAAGCTAGTTGTAATTATTCGCAAAACATCGTGCTCAGATTGTAAATGTTGTGGGTTTACTTTCCAACACACTGGTGTGCTGTAATAGTAACGAATTGGCATGTTCTGTTTATGTGACAAACCTTACTAAGTGGCTGTGTCGAGTGATGGGGGGTTTAATGACGCATTTATACTTACGCGATCTAACCCAAACAATCCTATATTATGGATGATATTGGTCGCAAAAACATAGGTGTTAAACTGATGATGATCATGATGGTGGTGGTGACGCTGAGCGAGAGTGTGACTCCGAGTGGCGTACCCGGGAGGGCGGTTGTCGGGCACGTCGCGGTCGAGGGGCAGCCGGTCGCTCAGGTAGGCGTTGTAGCCGTAGGTGAGGAAGCGGGCGCACGCCGCGCGCTTCTGCCGGGCCGGGAGCTCCTTGCCCCACTCCTTGAAGAGCTGCATCTCGGGGTCGGGTACCCACTGGCTCCCCTTACACACCGGGCCCTTCTCAGATGGCTCCTCGGGCTTAGCGCCATCTGAAAGGGTGGTTGGGGGTCGGGATGACGCGCAGCTCACGAGCACGCAGTCTCTATGTGCGTCCCCCCCCGGGGCGACCAGGTCGGCGCACCTCACACGCCTGGTTAACGGGGGGGGCAGGGGGGGGAGGGTCTGTACACTTCCCCCAATGCTATTCATCCTCTGGCTACACGAGCGCGCTGCCGCTCTTTCGCATCGCTGTGTCATGTACGCGGACGATGGTGTCGCCACGCGAGCTCTCGGTCTCGGTGACCCTGGAGGGCGCTCCCGAGACTCCGACCTCAACCGTCATGGCAGCGCCGGGGTTCTTGCCGAAAGCGGCGGCGGCTAAGACCAAAGCCAGGGCCCAGCGATAGTCTGGGTGCTGCGGTGGCTGGGAGATGTTCACTACCTCGCCTGTTCTACACGAAGTCGTGGGTTCGATCCCGACCCTGACGCCTGTACCTTTGGGGTTTGCATCTCTCTCTCTCTCGCACCCCGTGGTCGCACGTAGATTTTTATCCGGGTCCTCCAATTTTTTTCCTCTCCATGTCGAGAATCAACGTCTTGCATTTAGAATATTTGTCTGCTGCTATACATTTCCACATGATGATGATGATGAGCCGCCACTTCATTGGTCGCTTCTGGAAAAGAGCTACATAGCTCAGTGGGGCCTTAACCTGGTAAATAAAAATAAATAAAAACTGTTTAGTTTCAGTCTCGGTTTCATCTCAATGACAGTGCCAATGGTGCACTTGATGCCATCTTCTGTATGGCGAAAAGGAGGAAATACGACCTTGGTGGGACAGTTACTAAACTTATTTATATTTATATATACCAGGCAAGGCCCACTGAGCTGTGTAGCTATTTTTCAGAAGATACCTGACTTTCACAAATGATAGCTTATTACGTGGAAATCTATATCAGCCAAATATTCTAAACGCGTGATTCTAAATGTGGAGGGAAACATCGGAGACAAATCCACGTGACCACGGGGAGAGAGACACCGCAAACTCAGAGTCGGGATCGAAGCCACGACCTCCTGCATACAAAGCGACGTAGGTAACATCTTCTAGCCACGGTGGCTCACTATTAATGAAAAAAAGGGCTGCTGGAAAAAAAACCAAGACACAAGTGAACCTCATTTAAAAATTACGTGGAAGGAGATGGGGAGCCAGCAGATGCCCCCCCCCCACCCGCCGGTGCTTTGGACATTGTGGGTTGCCCTGGCAAGGTCAACCACAGAGAACTGCACACCAGGTTTGGGCAAAGAAAGCCAACACTGCCGACTACGACGAGAGACAACTGAACACCGATCGCGATACGGACCTTCTCGGGGAGTTTAGCATCTATGCCGGTTGCCTTAGGATCCTGGTGCTGTCAAATATCCAAACCCCAGGGTTGGGATGGGAGGCTGGCGGCTACACCAGCATGAACACCACCAACACCATCACCAGCACCAAAACCACCAACACTATATGGATCTATGCGTGTCTGTGTAAATGTATGGGCCTCTGCGTGAGTCAATGGGTCTCTGTGTGCGTCTATGTGGTTATCCGTGAGTCTATGCGTCTCTGTGTGAGTCTATGGGTTTCTGTGTGCGTCTATGGTTATTTGTGTGAGTCTGTGGGTCTCTGTGTGAGTGTATGGGTATCTGCTTGCGTCTATGGGTATCTATGTTCATCTATGGGTCTCTGTGCGAGTCGAATCTCTGTGTAAGCAGACAGCACAACTACTCGCTCGGATGTTGACAAAGCAATCAAGACAGCCATCTCTAAACACAAATTTGAGTGAAACTCACCTTCCAGAATCATTTTTAGCATCTCCTCAATGTTGTTAAGTTGCTCAGCGAAAGCCAGGGGATTGTGTAGGAGTGTCTTCTCGGAAGACGTGCTGGCCGGCCCTTGCGATCTGATGACAAGCATGGTGCTCCTGAAACCCCTCAGCATCCACAGGAGGTTCCCGAAGCAGGAGAAGACGAGGAAGAAGCACAGGATACTGGACTTCCTCGCCACGGCCATCGTCGCTGTCACAAATCACATGTCGAGACGTAATGCATCCTCATAATTACGGAAGGGTCGAGAGCATCCTGGCTCGCCACCCATACCGTGGTGAGGTCACGATCGATAGGAAAACGGGGCAAAAAATGTTAACATCGCTTAATTCACGTTACCGCTAACCGCATGAGAGATCTCGGTGTTTGATTTTGCCGCACGTGTAACAATAAGCGCCGCATGATACCTGAAGGCAAATGAACCACGCGGTCACCTCGGCCGCCAGGCGGTTTGTACGTTCCCACGGCGCGCCAATCGCTGCGCTCGTTATTAAAACTTCGCTGTAAATGGTTCCCGGTTCAGCGGTTATCGTTCAGTGAACCCGAAACACAACAACAACAATAACAACAACAAGGCGTTTGAGCCGCTTGCATTCAAGCGTTCAACGTGGATAGTGATAAAATGTTGCCACTAAAAGAAGACGCCCTGCTGCTGCTGCTGATGATGATGCAGTGATGAGAATGAAACGGCCCTATTTCGACACATCCGTAGGATGGATAAAAGCAGGAATATTAAAAGTGATTCATATTAAAAGTGTGTGATTCGAAAAAATGGAAGGAACCGTTAAGAGAGCAACACCGACGCTTTCCAGGGGGGTCGGTGACCTCTCAAAGAGGAAGAGACACTTTTATTTCAGTTACGTTTTTGTTGTCTTTGACCAAAAAATAGGCCGAGAGCCGCATCACAACGCAGAGCCACTCGCACACAGACGCAGCAGCAGGTAACAGCAGCAGCAGCAGGTAACAGCAGCAGCAGCAGGTAACGCAGCAGCAGCAGCAGGTAACGCAGCAGCAGCAGCAGCAGGTAACGCAGCAGCAGGTAACGCAGCAGCAGCAGCAGGTAACGCAGCAGCAGCAGCAGGTAACGCAGCAGCAGCAGCAGCAGGTAACGCAGCAGCAGGTAACGCAGCAGCAGCAGCAGGTAACGCAGCAGCAGCAGCAGGTAACGCAGCAGCAGCAGCAGGTAACAGCAGCAGCAGCAGGTAACAGCAGTAGCAGGTAACGCAGCAGGTAACAGCAGCAGGTTACGCAGCAGCAGCAGGTAACGCAGCATGTAACAGCAGCAGGTAACAGCAGCAGGTAACAGCAGCAGGTAACGCAGCAGCAGGTAACAGCAGCAGCAGGTAACGCAGCAGCAGGTAACAGCAGCAGCAGGTAACAGCAGCAGCAGGTAACAGCAGCAGGTAACGCAGCAGGTAACAGCAGCAGGTAATACAGCAGCAGGTAAAGCAGCAGCAGGTAACGCAGCAGCAGGTAACAGCAGCAGCAGGTAACAGCAGCAGCAGGTAACAGCAGCAGCAGGTAACACAGCAGCAGGTAACAGCAGCAGGTAACGCAGCAGGTAACAGCAGCAGGTAATACAGCAGCAGGTAAAGCAGCAGCAGGTAACGCAGCAGCAGGTAACTAGCAGGTAACGCAGCAGCAGGTAACTAGCAGGTAACGCAGCAGCAGGTAACTAGCAGGTAACGCAGCAGCAGGTAACTAGCAGGTAACGCAGCAGCAGGTAACGCAGCAGCAGGTAACAGCAGCAGGTAACGCAGCAGGTAACAGCAGCAGGTAAAGCAGCAGCAGGTAACGCAGCAGCAGGTAACAGCAACAGGTAATGCAGCAGCAGGTAACGCAGCAGCAGGTAATACAGCAGCAGCAGGTAACACAGCAGACGGCAACACAGCAGCAGGTAACACAGTAGCAGGTAATGCAGCAGCAGGTAAAGCAGCAGCAGGTAATACAGCAGCAGGTAACGCAGCAGCAGGTAACAGCAGCAGGTAACAGCAGCAGGTAATACAGCAGACGGCAACACGCACTCTGACTTACATTTTAAAAAATGTGTGATGAAATCAACTGTGTCTATTTAATATTTTTTTCCCCATTTAGTTATTCTTTAACAAAACAGTTTGACTGTTGTACATTTTCACCAAGACATTCCATAGGGACCCATTCCCCGCCATATTTAATACATTATCTTTATGTTAAATTATGTTTAAGATTAATTTATTTATTTTAATGGCTGCCCACAACGGGCCAGCCAAGGAGCCAGAATGCAGCTGTGGAGTGGCAGGTTACCGACTCCTGTTCGAGATTGAGGGGCTGCCTCTGAACCGCTCATCGCCAAGCAGTGGTGTGAGCACCAAATGGCAAGGCAGCACCCGTCCCTCGTGTGCCTTGTACCTGCTATAGCGATCAGGAGACGTTCCGGGTAAACGGAGCGCGATACGAAACGGCACTGAGGTCTGTTTGATTGAAAGCTTTCGTGACTGCAGGGATTCATATTCTTGGTTATTTCGGTAAAGTCACGTAGAAGGGAAACAATAAAATAATAAAAAATATAAAACAATAAAATTCTCACGACGTTTCGACTGCAACACAAGCAATCATCATCAGGTGTGAAAACCACAGCAAGAAAATTTGAAAAAAGTGGCGGTTATTTTTAACGTTAGCACCACGGAGAGCGATTTTACAGTTTGTTCCTTATTCACCAAAGTTACTGTACCTGACACCATCGCAATCATTGAAGGCTTGGTTCATCAAGGACTAATCACTGAGGTACCCCCCCTGGTGAGACACTGCTTAACCAATACATACTTCACTTGGAATGGAAGTATCTACAAACAAACTGAGGGCACCCCAATGGACTCTCCCCTATCTCCGGTTGTAGCCAACATTTTCATGGAGAAATTTGAGACTGACGCCATCCAGACTGCCACTCTGCGCCCAACCTTATGGAAGAGGTACGTGGATGACACTGTTGCCATCTGGCCACATGGTCGGCCTGCTCTAGACCAATTCTTCGACCACAACAATTCCATACACCCAGCCATCAGATTTACCATGGAAGTCGAAAAAGATGGCAAGCTACCTTTTTTGGATGTCCTAATAAAAAAGAGACCTGATGGTTCAATGAGCCACTCTGTCTACAGGAAAGATACCCATACGGATGCTTACCTGAAACCGGATTCCCACCACCATCCATCCCAGAAGGATTCCCTCATCAAGACTCTGCACCATAGAGCCCAATGCATATCCAACCAGGAACACATAGCCAGTGAACTCAAGCACGTACACCAAGCTCTTAAGGCTAATGGTTATTCCAACTACACAATCCGTAAAGCTATCACTCCAACCATGAAGAAGGACCCTCTTGAGGAGCCTTTCAAAACCATCACTTTACCCTACATTTAGGGGATCACAAAAAAGATCTCCAAAATCTTGAATAAACACAAGATCCAGGTCCGTTTCAACACATTACATAAAATCCGTGATCTGGTTCCGTCTGTAAAAGATGTGATTCCAGACATACAGTACCCTGGCGTCTACAAACTAAGTTGCCTCTGTGGTAGTAGTTACATTGGAGAAACCAAACGACATGTCTCGGACCGCATTCGTGAACACAAAGCAGACCTGAAACACGGTAGGACCAACACCTCGGCCGTGGCAGATCACTGTTATAATTCAGTAGGCTCACATGACATTGACTTCTCCAAGACAGAGGTTCTTTGCAAACCATCTGGCTACCATGAGAGATTCGTTCATGAGGCTATCCACATATACAAACATAGAGACAATTTCAACCGAGAAGATGGATTCTGGCTTAGCAATCATTGGAAAGATTTGGTAAACCATTTCGGATCTTAATTGATAGATCACGCTTAAGGTGCATTTCAGACCGCATCCATTATTTTTCGTCTCCCCCCTCCTCTTTTCCGAACATAGATGGACTCGTCCATCTGAAAAAACTGTCAAATCGCTCTCCGTGGGGCTAACGTTAAAAAACCCGCCACTTTTTTCAAAAAATGTTGCTGTGGTTTTCACACCTGATGATGATTGCTTGCGTTGCGGTCGAAACGTCGTGAGAATTTTGTTGTTCAATATTTTTATTATTTTATTGTTTCCCTTCTACGTGACTTTACCGAAAGAACCAAGAATATGAATTCCTGCAGTCACGAAAGCTTTAAATCAAAATTCAGCGCGTTCGTCAATACTATGGCCTAAACAGTAAACAGCTAATAGGCGACGTTCCGGGCAATGGCCTTTCTTTAGAGCAAACCTATTAACAACGATGTGTTTACTTAATATGAGTTACTCAAACGTCATTGTCAATTAATTTTCAGCACCAGTTGTCGTTTGTGTGTATGTTGAACTTTTTTCGCACCGTACATAACCAACCGTGCTGACAGGAGGTGCGCAAAACAAAAAACGGTTATAAAAAAAATTCGTTTACTTACGGATAGGTCGATCTCCCGGCTTGGCAGTCCGTGGTTGAAATTTTGAACAAACAAACGAACTGAACAGAAAAACTCCGTCGAGCTGTGTAGAGTGTACGTGTTTTATATGCCACTCGACGTGTCCCCTTGCCAGGCAAGACAGTAAAGGTATTTCGGCGCAGCCGTGCAAGAGCCCGCTCACGCCCACTGCTAACGAAAGTTTCAGTTTTTTCAGTTTCAATTATTTAGTATAGCCCTGTGAGCCATTCGGCTCTTGACTCGGGTGCAACCGCAACAAACAAAAACAGGAACAAGAAACATATTAAAGTGACTATGTGCCAACAGAAAAATCCAGAAAAAAACAGCAAAGTCTGCCAGAAAAAGCACCGTATATCAATGCTGTGTGCAAAAATCTCATTGGGAAGTAAGTCAAACAATAACAACCATAAGACAATTTTAGCTTAAAGTTATCTGTCTAACTATGTACTACAACAAACAATATGTTTGCTTTTTGATTTAAAGCTTTCGTGACTGCAGTGATGCATATTCTTGGTTCTTTCGGTAAAGTCACGTTGAAGGGAAACAATTAAATAATAAAATTTATATAAAACAATAAAATTCTCACGACGTTCGACTGTAACACAGTCATCATCACGTACACCAATCTCTTAAGGCTAATGGTTACTCCGACTATACAATCCGCAAAGCCATCACTCCAGTCATGAAGAAGGATCCTCTTGAGGAGCCATTCAAAACCATCACCTTACCCTACATTGCGGGGGTCACAAAAAAGATCTCCAAAATCCTGAATAAACACAAGATCCAGGTCCGATTCAACACAGTACATAAAATCCGTGATCTGCTTCCGTCTGTAAAATATGTGGTTCCAGACATACAGTAGCCGGGCGTTTACAAACTAAGTTGCCTCTGTGGTAGCAGCTACATTGGAGAAACCAAACGACATATCTCGGACCGCATCCGTGAACATAAAGCAGACTTGAAACACGGTAGGACGAACTCCTCAG